GTTAGTAGTGAGCTGAAATGTGTCAATGCAAATGACAGAATTTGCATCCAGACTTTTTCCTGCCAGACTTCTGGTAACAATGTCTGCAAGAAGTCAGTGGGAGCCAATGAGTGAATGCAGCAGGATATATTCAGAAAAGTTCACAACAAGCGGACAGACAGGGGTTAGGATGTTTACATCACGCGATCAGTGGAAAGTTGTGCGCATAATGAAACAGCTTCATTACGTTTTCTTATCTCCAGGAGGCATTATTCTTCCCTGCTCTATGGTTGATGAAGTGAATATCTGAAATTCCATGTAGCATCGTTTTAGAGGCAGGTTCATGGTGAACTGGTGAATCCTAAATAGCCGAGTTCTGCTAAAGCTGTTGGTTAATTTACCTCCTTTCTTTACATAGTTAATGAGATGCATAGGAGATTTCAGGTAGCTTTCACATGGACTCTGTTGTGCAATTTCATTGGTCCAGTTTGCTTTCACACTGCACTTTGTCAAGCAAACAAAAAGCATGTCAAATGTTGTGTAGCGTAGCCACCCACCACTAGGTGGGGCTGTAGCTCTGGTCAGTGGCTACTACCTAACATCTCAACGCTGCACTATAACCTTGAAGTAAAAAACAGCACAGCGCAGTTTGTCAGTATTTTGATCTATAAAATGGAGATAAAGTTCTACGTCTGTTGTGTCAGGTTAAACTGAGGTATCTACCCGAGCGATGTGTACCCACACTTAGCACAGACATGTGGACGTTAACCTGCAAGGACGACTGAAGGCTGGTGTTGTTAGCGATGCTAATGTTAGATGCGCTCAGCAAACCTAAATGGCATTGTTTACAGTCGGCCAAATTCCACCCACAATGCACTGCTTTTTGGTTCACTTCCCCTCTGTTTTATGGATCCCGTTCTCGCTTACCGAAAACTGAACTGTGGTGCACTTGGAAGTGAACCAAGACCCCCGTTCTTAAACAGACCAGAGTTTGGTTCTTTGGTCCACATCACAGTTCGTGAGCAACCAAACCAACCAAACTATCCGACAGCGAGCACCACAGTTTGTTTCAAACGGACCAAACAACTCAAGCGTGAAGGCACCCTTAATCTCTAAATATTGAAGGCCTACTTCAGCTTCTTGTTTATTTTCTTTTCATATTTTCTTAACGTCTTGTGCTGGATTGATTCTTTTGCTTAGGCCACGTGTCTGAAAGGAGGATTATTAGAAAAATAAATAAATTCCCAATTTTGCACCAACTTTATGAATCGTTTACCCAATTTCACCTCGAAGACAAACAAACAAATAAAAATAAATCTGGTTATAGAGATGGCTGCAGGTTCCCTGGTGATAAATAATAAACATCCTCCTTTGCTTCATTTCACATAATTGAGTGGATTTGTTCAATAAAACCGGAGTAATGTTCTTCATATTCTCCAGTCATAAAAGTTTATGAAGTGAAACTCATCAGGCCAGAGCTCACTAGAGTAACACTACTCTCTCTCTCTCTCTCTCTCTCTCTCTCTCTCTCTCTCTCTCTCTCTCTCTCTCTCTCTCTCTCTCTCTCTCTCTCTCTCTCTCTCTCTCTCTCTCTCTCTCTACCTCTCTCTCTCTCTCTCTCTCTCTCTCTCTCTCTCTCTCTCTCCCTCTCCTCTCTCTCTCTCTCTCTCCCTCCCTCTCTCTCTCTCTCTCTCTCTCTCTCTCTCTCTCTACCTCTCTCTCTCTCTCTCTCTCTCCTCTCTCTCTCTCTCTCTCTCCCTCTCTCTCTCTCTCTTCTCTCTCTCTCTCTCTCTCTCTCTCTCTCTCTCTCTCTCTCTCTCTCTCTCTCTCTCTCTCTCTCTCTCTCTCTCTCTCTCTCTCTCTCCTACCAGAGTTATTCCCCTCATACTGAATCATGCACTGCATGGTATCATCAACTGTGTAAAAGAAGTGAAAGTAGCCAACGAGACTTCACTGTAGACCTGACATGTAAAGTCTTGAGATCATTTGGCTGTTGTCATCCCTTTGAATAGCTTTTATTTGAGGTGATGATTATTGAACAATGATTTGATATCCCCCCTTCTATGTGCCTGTGTTTCCTCTCCCCCTGCTGGTCAGCGTTCACATCAGTACCATCGTTCTGTAGACGAGTTCACTTGCGTTTGAACACAGTCTGATACACCCGCTGGCTGAGTCCGTCCTGCTAACTGTGGATGTTTCTGATATTTCAGCGACGCCAACAACGACCCTCTTGCTACGGCCACATCTACCGTCTAGCTCAGAGGATGAAACAGGCCGCATTGTGACCAACAAGTTTATGAAAATGCACTAGATAGATCAATCAATCAATCAACCTTTATTTGTATAGCGTCAACTCATAACAAGTGTTATCTTGAGACACTTTACTAAAAGCAGGTAAAAAGACCTTACTCTTTGTTATGTTACAAAAAGCAGGTAAAAGACCTTACTTGCTATATTACAAAGATCCGGCCTATCCATCATGATGCACTTTAGCAAAGCAGCAAAAGTGACAGTGGTAAGAAAAAACTGCCTTTTAAAAAGGCAAAAATCTTCGGCTGGATCCCTGGCTCATGACGAAACAGGCCTAGACTGCGCTGGGCTTGGAAAGGGATAGGGGAGAGATGGGATAGATAGATACTTTATTGATCCCGAAGGAAATTCAAAGCATCCAGTATCAGAAACATGAAACATTTGTTACAAATTAAACACAGACCGACGCCCCCCGCTTCCGTGTGTGTGTGTGTGTGTGTGTGTGTGTGTGTGTGTGTGTGTGTGTGTGTGTGTGTGTGTGTGTGTGTATATATATATATATTAACCCGAAAAAAAGATTTAAAGAATACCCCTACTTTAAAAAAAAAAATAGACTTATACAATAACCCGTGCAGGGATAAAAATATACACGGTGAGGAGACATTGTGAGGGTCTGTATTTTAAGAAGCTGATGTTTTGTTTCACTGATAGTCTGCAGAACTGTAGAGGAACATCAGGCTCCATTATCACGTAGTGACTTCAGTCCGTAATGACCCGCCCCTTTGAGTGCACGTCTCCATTTCTCTGCTGAGTCTGCAACAGTTTGTTATCATCATTTATAGGTGATGAGACGTTGAAATCTCTAGATTAATCACGTGTGTCAATGCGTTAACGGGAACCGCCCATCTTAATGAACATCACGTTGTATGACAGAGGACTTATTAGATTCTGAGAGTATAAACTAAGGAGGGCGATGTTAAGTGAGGGGATAAATCAACTGAGAAGTATGTGGGACCATTGCTGGTAGACTTTTAATACGATGTGACATCTTTTACATCCAGTGGAGTCGCCCCCTGTTGGCCAGCAAGAAGAACACAGCACAACTGAACTGATTTCCGTTTTAAAGTGGCAGGCTTTATTTCCTAGTAATTTTTTTTTATTGCTTTCATTGGATATGATAGCTGAAGAGAGGCGGGAAATGTTGGGAGGAGCGAGAGGGGATGACATTCAGCAAATGGCTGAGGTCAGATTCAAACCTACAACCGATGTGATGAGGACTATAGCCTCTGTACATGGGGCGGGCAACATAACCACTAGGCTATCGTCGCTCCAGGTTTTGTTTCCTAATCAAATACAGTCTATGTATGTCAAAGACCAGCGATTCTGGAGTCTATCAGGGCCCTCCATCCACCGTTCATCATCTTTAAGTCTCCCCGTGTTCCAGCGCGTATCCCTCCTATTCTTCCCCATGCAGACAGATAATATTTTCTAATTTCCCTCCGGTGACTTTCATTGACAGACTTTGGTTTTCACAGAAATGTTGCATTGGACACTTAGCAGGGCAACCAGAGTCAAAGCTGTCGGATGGGGGGCCCCCTTAGGGAGGTCTCCTACTGTCATTGCAAAATTTGGGACATTTTTCGGCCACTGCTGTGGACGTGAACTATTTTCTTTCAAAAAAAAAAACAGAGGACCCCTTAACACCATTTGGCACAATTAATCACCTTGGCAACTGTAAAAAAGAAAACAAAAACAAAAAAATAGATCAGTATAAGTCGAGGTTCTCCTCTCAGTTTGGAAGCTTGAAAACGCTGTTATGTCACTGAGCTTCAGGCTAAGACCAAAATAATTTGACACTGAGTCAGACTGAAAAAGAGCAAGATTTCATCACTGAAGACCAACTGGAAATATAATATCCATCCTGCTTGACTTCAACCTCCCTCCAGTAGCTTTATTGTCTCTGTGGGAGAAAACCTGAAGAACTCAAACACCAAAGCTGCTGCTCAATCTGAAACTATTCTCTCATCTCAAACTAAATCCATGATCTCCCAACAGGACCTGAAGAGCTGCTGGCATATGAAAGAGCTGCACATGAAGGCGACATTCAGTCCGAGCTGCATGAATTCAACCGGACGCAGACGGCCCCACCTGTTGTGAAAGTGATCAGCGAGGCTCAGAGTGCAGAACAAGACCTCCAAACACCGGCCGCGCTCCTCTGTTTACTCACATCGAGAACATTTAGATCAACTCGCCGAGAGGAGGACACGATTATTCTCACTTCTTACGGCTCAAAGCAAAACATCATTCAGAGTTTATGAGGCTTCCTGTGGACATTCAGCCTTTGAACCAAAGACAGGAGAAGAAGAAGAAGAAGAAGAAGAAGAAGGAGGACAGATGACAAATGAAATAGTAACAACCCCAGCAGGAGGCAGGCTCTCCTCATGGCGCACACACATTCACACACGCGCAAATTCACACTTTGAGGGACTCCCACAGCATCGTAATTAGCTGCTGCACTTAAAAAAATGCTCACAGTAAGAGACTCGAAAAATGCACATGCAGCACTTAAACACACTTTAATGATTCAAACAAACAAACATGTAAACTCTCTGTCAAACACAAACACACACAGCGGTGTGCTGTTAACACACAAACATTAAAAAGCATAGTTGACAGTCCTCTATCTCTCTGCCCCTGACACACACACACACACACACACACACACACACACACACACTCAAAAGAAACACAAAAACACACACACACTGTACCCTTGATTCGGCGCCTGATGACCCCTAAGCGGCACTTGAGCGAAACGGAGAACATCCTCACACTCTCTTCTTTTTCCCCTCTCTCTTTATCTTCTTCCTGCTTCCTCACTCTCCCTCCTCCTCCGCCTCCTCCCACTCTTCTTCTTCTTCTTCTTCTTCTTCTTCTTCTTCTTCGTCCTCAGTCAGACATAGTGTGAGCCGAGTGAAGGATGGGGAGAGAGAGAGCAAGAGAGGGAGAGGAGAGAGCGGCATTGGAGCGTTGGCCGGTCACATGGTGAAGACAGAAAAGAGAGAGAGAGAGAGATTGAGCGGGAGAAGTGATTACACAGACCCTGCTCTGCCTCTCTCTCTCTCTCTCTCTCTCTCTGTTTCACCTCTGTCTCTCACTTTCGTTGTTTACTTTCTCTCTCTCTTATTTTTCTCTGTCTGTGTGGGAAGTCGTAGAAAATTGAGCCGCTTCACTCTCCTCCAATCTTCTTCTTTCTCTTCCTAACTCACACTGATATGCTCTCTCTCTGTGTGTCTCTCCTGCTTGTTTGCTGCCTCTCTTTCCTCTTCAAAATCCTGACACGTCTCTCTCCAAACCCTCTTCTTTTTAAGTTTTCTTTTTCATCTTCTATGCCTTCAAAAACCTGTAAGCTGCTTGTATCTTTCTCCTTTTAAGATGCCATAATGGTGGAACTCAAAATTGGATAGTGTGTCGGCCGGTTGATGCTTTCACCTCCTTGTGTCAGGCTAAAATATCTTAGACATATTTGATGGAGTTCTCATCTCCAACAGTTAAACCTTCAGCAGCTTGGTCAATAGTCAAATAATTCACATTACGACCACCAATGCCAGCACCTGTTGGTTTTCTGTTTTCTAACGAGAAACTATCCAATGCGCACTAAGAATGCAGCCTGTGGGTGTTGATGGACGTTGCAGCCCAGAGCGTTTACCAGAGTTGAGCTGACATGCAATGCAGACGTATCTGGTGGAAGTTCTGGGTTAGCAGGTAAAAACGTTTTTTTGTGCTCTTCCGTCCAGCAACACCTGACACCCCAGTGAAGGTTCACACCCAAAGGTGACCCCTGCTGGAGCTACTGGTGTCTTACACTTTTGGTAACGCCTGGATAATGTTTGTGAGCCTGATCCAACTTTCTGCAGGAAGACCCCATTATTGTCCCCGAGGGGTCTGCTCTATTCAGGTGAGTTTAGGGGCTGTGATTTATTTACAGACGAGATTTTGAACTCAATCTAGAAAAAGGAACTCCATTTGTCCCCCTGTTTTTCTACCTGCAACAAAAAGTACCATTTAATTATGTTTCCCCTTTTTCTTCAAAGATTAAACACTCAATCCAGTGATTATTTTCATGAAAAAAATATTAGGACTTTGTGATAGGACCTCTCTCTCTCTCCCTCTCTCTCTGTTGCCCCCCCCCCCCCCCCCCCTTCCGACACTAATCTCTTTACACTCCTTTTTCGCTCAATTTAACCTCTCTCACGCCGCATCACTTTCTGCAGGGCTCGAAATTCATCATTGCACTGGATAAATCTCTGTCTCTCTCTTTTATTGTCATGGTAACAGTGTTGAGCTTTAGCAAAATAACAGAGAGATCAAAGCAGCAAATGGCTGGGCTCAGCAGAGCACGGAGGAGAATAGAGAGACGAGGAGGTGGGGTGATGAAAGGGGAGCAGAGGGCGGAGGAGGAGGAACAGGGAAGACCCAAAAGGTGAGGGAGTGAAGTGAACAAGTGAGAAGAAGACGGAAAGGGAGAGGCGAAAAGTGGGGTGAAGAATAAAGCTGTTTAGTTGAGACGGAGATTACAGCCCACAGAAGAGGAGAGGAAAAGGAGGATGAAAGGAGGACAGATGAGAGGTGGCGGCTCAGAGAGAGGAAGGAAAGAAGAGATGACAGGTGACGGCTAAGAGGAAGGGAGCAGAGGAAGTGAAGACAGGAAGTGAGAAACATTAGAGCGACATGACTCAGTGAATGCGACACATCTTGTCAATGTTTTTCAAAATAAAATACTAAAGTAAAGACATAGCAGTGTTTTAGAGATGCTGGAGAAGTCAGTGTTGTGATGAAGATGAACAAATCATCCACATGGCAACAGTCTATTTTAGGTTTCAGTGTGTTTAATTTCCAGCCTGGATGTCTCTTTCTTAGAAAACAGTTTGCTATCCTCCACTCTTATCTGCTGTCACACCTCATTCTTGAATTCATTTTTTTTTTTACATGTGCAGCTGCATGGGTGAACTATTTGGATTGTTTTATCAACGGATAATCGGCCATTTATTATTCATTATGATATGGTGACCATTGGAGTTGCTGCCCGGATTAGTTCAGACAAACATAATAAATCTTTAACACCAGTTGTGGTTTGTTTCACCAGCTAAGTGTGAGTTGTGTCTTAAGTTCTGTCCACAATAAACACTATCCATCCATCCATCCATCCATTGATTTATCCATCCATCCTTTAATCCATCCATCCATCCATCCATCCTTTAATCCATCCATCCATCCATCCATCCATCCATCCATTGATTTATCCATCCATCCATCCTTTAATCCATCCATCCTTTAATCCATCCATCCTTTAATCCATCCATCGATTTATCCATCCATCCATCCTTTAATCCATCCATCCATTCATTCATTCATCCATCCATCCACCCAGCCATCCAGCCGTCCATCCATCCATCCATCATCCATCAATCCATCCATTCATTCATCCATCCATCGATTTATCCATCCATCCATCCTTTAATCCATCCATCCATCCATTGATTTATCCATCCATCCATCCTTTAATCCATCCATCCATTCATTCATTCATCCATCCATCCATCCATCCATCAATCCATCCATTCATTCATCCATCCATCGATTTATCCATCCATCCATTCGGCCATCTATCCATATACCCATCCATTCATTCATCCAACCATCCATTCATTCATTCATCCATCTATCAATCCATCCATCCATTCATTCATTCATTCATCCATCCATCAATCATCCATTCATTCCTTCATTTATTCATCCATCCATCCATCCATCCATCCTGCCATCTATCTACCATCCATCTATCCTTTCATCCATCCATTCATCCATTCATTTATCCATCCATCCATCCATCCATCCATCCATTCATTCATTCATTCATTCATCCATCCATCCAGCCATCCATCATGCTAGCCATCCATCTACCCATCCATCCTTTCACCCAACTATCCATCCATCCATTCATCCATCCATCCATCCATCCATCATGTCATCCATCCATATACCCATCCATCCATCCATCCATCCATTCATCCATCCATCCATCCATCCATCCATCATGTCATCCATCCATCTACCCATCCATCCTTTCACCCAACTATCCATCCATCCATTCATCCATCCTTCCATCCATCCATCATGTCATCCATCCATATACCCATCCATCCATCCATCCATCCATCCATCATCCATCCATCCATCCATCCATCGATTTATCCATCCATCCATTAATTAATTAATTCATCCATCCATCCATTCATTCATCCATCCATCAATTAATCCATCCATCCATCTGGCCATCTATCCATATACCCATCCATTCATTCATCCAACCATCCATTCATTCATTCATCCATCTATCAATCCATCCATCCATTCATTCATTCATTCATTCATCCATTCATCCATCCATTAATCCATCCATTCATTCCTTCATTTATTCATCCATCCATCCATTCATTCATTCATCCATCTATCAATCCATCCATCCATTCATTCATTCATCCATTCATCCATCCATCCATCCATTCATCCATCCATCCATCCATCCATCCATCCTTTCATCCAACCATCCAACCATCCATCCATCCATCAACTCATCCATCCATCTATCCGTCCATCTTTCCATCCATCTCATCCATTCATCATCCATCATAAAGTCTGAGTTATTTAAAACGGTCAGCATAAAAGAACTTTAAACTTCAATATGATACTATTTTCAAAACCAATGAAATTGATACCTGATCTGCTACCATGGCAACAAAAATAAAAGTTTCAGAAGCTGGTTGAGTATTTTCTTGTTTTCAATGTTGCCAACATGTTTGTGTCATTTGGACAGGTATGTGCTGTTCTAACAACCCTTCTGTAGTGTTCTGTATATTTTAAGATAAAGGAACTCTTTTATCTGAAGGTGGATCAGCGGTTGATCAAACTATAAAACACAGGCCCATTCGTTGGTAAGTGAAGCAGTCAGATATTGAGCTACACTCAGCGGGACAACATTATGATTCTAACGCCCCGTGTTCTTTTAAATGTCCTTTAAAATGTCATCAAAAACTCGACAACAGAACACATGTCAGAACGCTACTCTCTCACATCACTCAGAAGGTTTATCAATGAAACTGCTCCACCACAAACTACAACACACCAATGAATGGCCGTTAATAAAAACAGAAAGGAGCCATTCAGTGAAAATCAGGTAGCAAGTAAACTTCCTGTCAATCACAGCTGTTAACCAGAACTCTGATGTTCAAAATCCAGATTTGGTAATCCACTTCATCTCGAACAAGGATCATGTAGTCCAGCTCACTTTGATCGTGGTGGTTCAAAGAAAAACTGGATGAGAACACCCTGATCCAGTAACAGACTTTTTAAGGATCACCAAATCCAGATTACACAGAGCGTTAAAGGGGACTTCACACTACACACTTTGTCCACAGGGGGCGCCAAAATCCACACAGACTGAAGGATCCTTACAGCTGCTTTGAATGAGATATTTATTTCATGTTTGATAATGAAGATGTTTGGTGAAATATTTAATAAAGAAAATCATGTATTGTTTAAAACGTTAATTTCTACTTTGTCACTGAAGTAAAAGATCATGTATGTTCAGAATATAGTTTAAAAAATGTCTTTAAATATCGACGACACTGTAAATAAAATTGTTTTGTTTCAACAATTTATTTGTTGTCTTGCATTTTTTTCCCTCCAACCTGAATCAGCCTTTCTTAAAGTGATCACCATAAACCCTGATTAATCACACCTCTTTGCAAATAAAGCCATGAATGTTGTGCTCAATTATTCAGAGACTTGATTTGGTAATTGAGGTCATAGTGAGTTATGGTGGTGGTGGTGGGGGGGGGGAGGGGGGCAGCGGTATGCATGAAGAGAATTTGACCCCCTTTTTTTTTATGAAT